GTAGTAAGGCACTTGTTACTAGAAGCTATGCACTTGTTCCTAGTAGCGATGCCCTTTGCTCCTAGTAGCATCCTTGTTCCTAGGCCTCTGCAAGGAAGAAGTCCCACTTCCCCTGCTGCGAATGGACCTCACAGCAACTTCCTAACAGAGTTCAGGATTTAGTCCGGCTGAAGAAACACCTGCTGCATCGCAGATTGGGCGCAAGGCCCACACGGTCCGTGGGCCTTTGGATGACCCAAGAGTCTATGTTCTTTGATGGCTTTGCCTCCAAAATGAGACCCTGGAATCGACAAAGGTGGTGAACCCCTTGATATGTCGCCTTTTTCTGAGCAGGATCACCAGTTGTCAATCTAGCACAATGATCAAAACGCCTCTCGTTCCAGATTCGCTCACCAACATCCGCGGGCCCAAACAAATAGAAGCTCCTGGTGGTTCTTTAGGTCATAGTCAGATGTCATAGTTGAAGCTCTGTTTGCTTCTTGATGCACGGAGCCTTTCCTGTGACGCCTCAAGGCGCATCAACTCTTCCTCCTTCGACCCAGCCTTGAAGAAGGAGAAGAAGTCCAAGCGTTCAACCTCCCATTCCGGCCAAGACTTATCTGCCTCCAACCCGGAGGCGCGTAGGTCTTTGGGGCGCAGCACATGGGCAATTGATCCCTTTACAGTAGGTTTTCCAGACCACGATTTAGAATTTGGGTGTGTTTTGGGACGGATCTTTTCTGCAGTCCCAGGGCGGAGTCATTGCATTTCAACGGACATCAAGTCACGTCAGGACCTCCACTCAGTTCAACAATCCTATTTCGATGGATTGTATATGATTGATTATGATGTATGATTGATGCGGTGAGACCAGCCAAGTGAAAAACAAATAGGGGCGGCCAGTTCTCCCGTGGAGAGGATTCGCTTCATTGGCAACTACAACGGTTTTGATCAGGATCACATGCCCAGCCCCGGCTCTAGAGATCCTCAAACCGAGATAAACCGAGCGTCAAGAAATCCAGCTGTTTCACACAATTGGATGAGGATCGACATGTTTACATATATTCCCCCCCAAAAAGCACTTGCTATTTTGGACTCAGATTGAAAGGCCGTGAAAGACCAGTGGCTTTTGAGGGGTCGTTTCGAGGAACCTCAAATAATACAGGAAAACCAGATTCTGAGGATCATATGAGTCATGTGTATCAGTCACACGTATGAGTAATTTTGTTTGACTCCGCCCGTGTTTCAGATAAGGACCCATCAATTGTTGCCCGTGACTTTTTGGCAGGGTCTTTGAAGCCACAGGAGTGGCTGCTGATGTGGTAACAGGATCCAATAACGACATGAACCGGGAGAGCAAACCACACCTGCTTTTGTATACATTCATTTGTTACCAGGCGAGTTTCTTCGACTGAGATGGTACATTTGACGTCACCCCGTAGCCACTGAGCAGAACCTGCTTCGTGGATGTTTTTCTAGATTATTTCACGAAACCACCCCAACCATGCCAAGACCAAGCTACTCGTCCCCCCACTCCTTCAGGCAATCGAGAAGGTTGACCCTGAGTTGGGCAACCAAGTGGCAAGCAACGAGCCGGTGGAACAAAGTTCGAAGCTCACCTGCACACGTAGTAACATGTATTAGCACAGTTCCCAACAAACTCACCTGTGGCGAAACGCAGCAAAGAAATAGTTGGAGGCCATCGCTATTAGGGTGGAGGCCATCGCAGCAAAGACAGGAATTTCAGGTGCTTCCAGCCACGATCCTTCAGCCTTCCAGGTGCTTCCAGCCTCGACTTTCCCAACAGGTCGGTCAGGTCTTAAAAAATAAATGAACACACACACACACATCAAAACACCGTATCACATACTTGCGTATACCATCCTGGTCCTATACCATCCTATACGCATGCCGCGCCTGGCAGCCCTAAAGAAAGCCTGCTGAGGAGAACATTGAGGGAAGCTCCCGGCAATCCTTTTTGTGTGATGGAACGCAAAATACTTGCATCCAAAAAATACACCCATTGGAGAAGACCTCGAAGCAAAAAAAAACTGAGGCCTGGGGAGGCAATGAAGTCTTCCTGGATCTGAGCATCTTCCGTTAACGTTAACCTGCTGCCGCACATCGTCACGCGACCCAGTCCAGGGGGTCTCCGGCCATTCACGGCTGGACCCCCTGGACCCATTGGTTGGACCCATTGGTTGTGTGTGGTGTGCAGCAGGTCCTCAGCCAGGTGTTTTGTGGCGCGTTTCAGAGGCACGAACAACACGCTGACAAACTATTACTGAGGCGCCAGGTTCCTGTTGTTGCATGTTGGGGATCCATTGGCCCCTTCACTGGGGAGTCTAGGGTTCAATGACCTTTTCGTCTCCGGGTAACCCACCCTGTCAACACCTTCCTAATACCAGTGAAGCACACGTGCGCATTTTGTTTAGCCACTGTTGGAAGGCCCTGGGCCCTGGTAGGTCAAAACGAAGGAGTTCGCCAAGTCGGCAGCTGGTTGCCACAAGACACACCGGGAGGCATCCTTTGAGCCAACCCTGATCGCTCCCATTTAGTGCGTCGAACGCATGGAATGGTCGAGCTGCCGAGAAGGCGCCTGTTGGGTACCTTCCTGGCTTATTTTTTTGTTGCTCGCGTTTGCTACTGCTAATGCTTGCTGAATTGCCTTCGAAGAAGATGCGCTTGGCAAATGTCAAGATCCTTTGGAAAGATCTGACGGCCTTCCTTCGCTCAGAAATTTAGGGATATCCATGCACATCCTTGCACATGATCTCTCCAGTGATGAATTGGGTAAGTAGGTCAATTGGCAGCGGGGTGAAACTCACACTTGGAGCTCGGACAACACTGCACCTGGTTGTAAAGGGGGGATACAGATTACCTTCTCTACCAATGCATACCAATGCATGGAACATTAATTCTTTACTCCTTTTCCTTTGAGTATATATATATATATTATAGAGCCCAAAAAAGAGGACAGACTGGAATCCCTCTTCTTTTCGACCAGTGAACCACTGGAGCAAAGGTATTGGCGGTGCACGAGTGGCCTGCATCTTGTAGCTTTGAAGCCAGGCTGCACGGCGAGAATGTGCCAAGCTGAGTTTGCCAAGCTGACCGAGGTGGAGTTGCTTGCGAGATACCGAAGAAGTGTGTGATCAGCTTCCCTACCAGAGATGAGCGTGAAAAAACTGTTGACCAGCAGATTCTGAGAGTTTGACACCACTTGTTCGTAGTTTTCAGATGTTGTCGATATTTCACTCAAAGGAACTTGGAAGAATGCTGGAAGCAACAACAAGAAAAACATCTGGTTCACGCGGGGTGCCGGGGGTGCCCCTGGGCCAACATGCACTGTTTAATGCATCTGCAAGTCAAGGTTCGGTTCGGGGATTGCTGTATTTTTGGATCTTGAACGATCTTGGAGCTAATTGGAGTGGATTTGTGAGTAGTTCAGCTTTAAATCATCGCAAGCGACACACCTCAACGGAATTTCCGGCGTCGCATCCCAATTCAGGAAGTGAGACTTTTGGATCCTTCCCGTTTGAGTCTTTAGACCTTCCTTCCATCTCGTCATGTTGAGACCTTCTTTATCCTTTTTAGATCGTCTCCATTCCAATCCCACCGTCGTTTGAAACCTTCCTTTTCGATGTTTGGATCTTCCTGCATCTTCAAACGGTTGATATGCAACGAGGATTGGGCTTCGCCGGCTTCGCCCGAATCTGATTCGAAGTAAAGGAAACAGGGGTTTCCTCCTGTGGCTGCACCGTGCTGCACATTTGGTCATGTTTGACAAAAGACCATGAGTTCCACCGATCTGACCATCGATGGAATAGATATCGGGGCCCGGTCGTTTGGTTCTCGTTTTGTTTGGTTTATAGAAAGTCGTTTGGATGCTGCCTTTCGATGTGGGTTAGATGCAAGATGCAAGATAAGCTCTGGAGTATCAGTTAAACACCACATATGGAACTGGGTAGGTGGGTACCTGGGGCTCGCGCGGCACTCGCGCCAGTGTAGCCATCTTTCCCCCAAGAACTTACATCTGTACGGATGTAATCCTCATAGCACTAAACTTACGTTCTTATATTAGGTTTCGGTCCTCTAAAAGCTACAAACTTCGACATAAATATTGTGTTTTGTTAGCATGGGCAATCACTTTTCCAAAACATTCAGCAATTATGGTATTGTAACATAAAACGGTTGACTTCTCGTAAGCAGGGTCACTTCTCTCTAATGCTGCGTTTCCATGTGGCCCGGAAACTTTCCGCACCACTGGGTGACTAGACCCAGGCCTATAGTGGGTGCAAAGCATGAAAACACATTGAAAAATCAGAGGAGCTGCCACGGTGCATCGGGCGGAGAAGATGATTTTCAACATGTGTCAACTGATTGGAGAGCACTTGGACGGCGCCTATGAACCTGGAGTTGTGGAAGCGAACAAGAGAACACACACCTTTGTGGGTGTGTCATTCATTGGGAGCCTAAGCGTCTACATGAGTGTTCCTTATACGTTCTGCCTGCAGCTTTCCCTGCGCATAGTCTCTACTAGCCTTGTGACATATATAAAGGTCCAGGTGCCAGAGAGCCGTTGTGTTCATCCAAATTCTCCATCCGACGTTTGAGTGTCCTTGCTTGACTGTGTCCACCGGCCGGGCTGGTGATCATACTGCATCGAGTGTCGAGAGAAAGGCCGTTGACCAGCTTTTTGTGCCATCTCTCCAACCCTTTTGAATTTGACCAGACAAGTGAAAGGGCTGAACATGAGTCTGGTCAGATCAAAACCTCCAAAGGAAGACCAGGTTCACTCACGGAATGGACTGACCACATGTTGAATATCAATCAACATTCAAAATTAATATATGCAGATTATTGGTATCAGCGGGCAGAGGTCAAGATCCAGAACAGATTCTTGCAGATGAGGCTGCTTTCTGTTGCATCTCGATAAGAATGGGATGGTTTGAAGATGTTTGAGGGACACAGTGTCTATATGTGCC